CAGTTGTATAATCAATCAATATAATAAAAGCAGTAATCAACACCAGAATGATCGCAGAGAAGCCTAACTGAAAAAGATTTTGAGCACTTTGTCAGTCAATCCACTATAAACGAATTTAACAACTTACAATCTACCAAACTAGACGATCCATACTATCTGATCTCCCGATTGCACTCCTTACAACTCTCCGTGGATCCCGTGCTTTCCTACACCAATCCTCAGATGCTGTTGCCAAAACTTTCTGTGGAATCTGCTACCCTGCATCACTCTAAGCCTTGTGAATTCATCTATCTCTCCTGAATCACGAAGAACAACCCGTTCTTCACAGACTGGAACTCCAGTCACCTTCCTTGATCTTTAGCACCTGTGACAGATATGACAAAGTTTGGTTTCTGATATTTGGATATTGGATCTGATGTTTTCTGACCAAAACACCCACACAGGATAAATATTGAATGATGGAATGAATAGATCTCTCAATGATGAAGTTCTCTCAATTGTCAACCTTAAGAAAGAATGTTCTATACGTGTATGGTATATATAAGTTCTCTCAATAAAATTTTCCGTATAAAGCTGTCGCTTGAGCGAAAGTTCAGCGACAGTGCTTCGCTCGAGCGAAGGAGGGGCCACAGTCCAGCGAAGTGGTTTCTGTTTTTGTAGCTCGAGTCAATTATTGGCACAGTCTAGCGAAAATCCACCCCATTTTCCTTCTTGTTCCAAACTCGAAACCCTACACATATTTAACTAACTTTTAAGCAAATTGCACATTACTTCTTGAACTTTGACACTCCATCAAATTAAGTTATTTTGTTCACAGAATAAGCTAATTACAAAATTTACTAAAACCTAACAATTTGGAGAGAACAAACCTTCCGTTTTTACTTTTTACCATATTTGTTCTCATTTAGTGATAGAAATCTCATCCTTATTGTTAAAAAATTCATCAGTATTATCATTATTCATTCTAAATATAGAGCAAGATCTTTTTATATCTCGCAATTTGGAAGAAAGTAATAAAGATCCATTCTATACTTAGCAACTTTCATATGATATGAAGTCAAATATTAGAACATCACAACACATGACGATATTAACAGTGGTAAAAAATATAGTTTACACATATATAACGTCGATGAATATGGAGATAGCAGAATTTTATGGTGGAATATGGTCATAGATGGTCGTGTTGTATTTGTTTATCCAGCCCTTGTTAATCTCCATTATTTTTAAAATACATTTTTTCTTTTTTATTTTCAATCACAAATTTTTCAATAAAATAATATTATACGTAAATCCAAAACTTTTCTTTATTTTTTAATCACACATTTTCCATTAAAATACCATCTCAAAATGTATTTTTATAAAAAAAATGGAGTTCAAACAGGCTCTTATATCCACATTCAGTATCTTTTATAAATCAACTAATATCAATTTTATCTTTAAGAAATTCGTGAAATATTACCTGATTTATAAAAACTATTCTAATTTTGATAATTTTGCACACACAATCTTAAACAATAGCAGTTACGATTTTTTCTTGTTAAATAGTGGTCCTAGCATTAGTCAACATTGTCTGGGCTTTTTTAATTTAGCCCATATTTGATTGTGATTAAAATCAGATTTTGATAAAAGTTGATAAATGCGTGATTAAAAAATTGTGATTTTTATAAAACATATGATTAAAATTAATTGTCAACTTTGATTTAGATGAAAATATAAATTTTAATCCCTCCCAAATAGGGGTTTAATCCAAAATTAATAACAGCTCATATAAACAGTTATGCAATAATGTGGCAAGAACGATTAAAAGTGTGGTTGATGAGGATTTTACCAACTTTAAGAGCATCTCTCGGATGGGTTTTCCAAAAGTGAAATGCTCTCTATTTTAAAAAATCAATCCTCAAAATTATGCTTGAAAAACTCTTCAAATTAACATTTTAAAATAGAGAGTGTGTTTGACTATTCAAACTTGCTCTCTATAATTAAATGCATTCAAAATATTTCAATATTTAATGTTTCATGTATTGGCCCAATTAAATAGTTATACAGAGAAAATAAATGGAGATAATGTAACAATTTAAAGGGAAGCTGGTGAAAATATAGGATTGAAATTTGTGTGTGTGTGTGTGCGCGCGCGCGCATGTGTGTACGCGCGTGTGTGTATACACTCATTAAATTGTAAAATATTCTCTTTAAAGAATAGAGAATCTCTTGAAAATGATCTAAGGGTGTGTTTGATTGAATTTTTTTTCATAAGAAATGATATTTTTTTACTCAAATTCTAACTTTTGAAGTGTTTATTGTCACTTTTTTTTTCATAGAAAACATTTTTCAACATTTGAAAATGTGCGTAATTTTCCTTGTTTTTGAGAAAAATATTTTCTTTGGGAGGAGGGGGGTAGGCTTTTCTTTTTCGAATAATGCTATTACAGTAGTTGTGTCAACCGAGTCGAGCGGCTCGTCGGCTCGTACTGTTCACGAGTGGGTAGGTGGGGCTAGATGAGCCGAACCCGTATTCACGAGCGGCGAGCCCACGAGCCGAGAAACTCATGGGCTCGTCTATATATATAAAAAATAAAAAAATAAAAAATAAAACGTGACCAGAATTTGGTCACTTTTAAAAAAAAAAAAATTTCCTATTTTT